GCGAAGAGTCGTAATGCAGTGGATACCATCTCATTGTGGGGGGCCTGGAAATGAGAAAGCTGATCAACTGGCAAGGAAAGGTGCGACAAAAGTGCAGCCGGATGTACCAGTCACATACCACCAAAAGAAAAGAATCATTAAATCGATCAGGAAACCACCAGCCCCAGCACAAGATGACTATTTTATTATGGACAGACCAGAACAAGTCATTATCCTCCGCCTCAGAACAGGGCACAACCGATTACGTAACCACATGTACACAAAATTCAAGATAGGTGTATCAGCCATGTGCACCTGTGGAAAGGTGCCCCAGACAGCAGAGCATGTACTCCAGGACTGCACCGAATTTGACACATTAAGGTAAACCTTTTGGCCAGAAAGAACAACAGTGGAACGTAAACCGTATGGACCACTGAATGAACTAACGACAGTGAAATTTATACAAAAGACAAAACTACTGATATAGACAACTTATTTCAGGCGAACGAAAGAATAGTCACGATAGACATGAAATGTTTATATGTAATGCAGGGTGTAAAAAGGAAAGATTTAGAAACAATGATATCTGGAGAAGAGGTCCCAGAGAACCAATACTGCAATTTATCCTTAGACAACAGATCTGATGGTTTGGTCATGTAACAGGACTGGCAGCAGACAGGGCACCACAAAGAGCAATGTTATACAGATAACAGAGCCAAAGGCCAACCACCTAAAAGATGGATGCAGAAATATCGGAGACACTGAAAAGTACTATGTGTGAAATCAACAGAAGGGCCTGTTGCAGAGATTTGTTTCTGCCCCGATGCTGCCAGGCATTCCAGAAGTAGAGGGAAGAAGAAGAGCAAGGGTTTCGGATGCCTCATTTTTTGCAAAAAAAAATGGCATCACCTGCCAACAAGCATGTCATAAAAGGGGTAGTCTTGAGTGTTTCTGCCAGAGAGGCGAGGAACTGACTGTCTGCTTACCAGTAAGCCAGATCTATAAATGGATGTGCATGCAAAACTGAAGTTCTGCAACATGTTCAAAAGTGGACGGACAACCAGAACTTTCCGCAGGAATTTACGGCCAGTGAATACTAATATGGAGAAGCTAGAAAGTTTTCATCAGCATACGACACAGATGGACAATAATGCAATTAGAAAACATGTATTATATCTTTGAAAACCTGTACGACAAATCTTCTTCTCTGTACACCTTCAGTAGATGTCTGAGAAAGGCTGCAGGAGTGGCTAAGGTGAGTAAAGACAAGATGTCTGAGAAAGGCTGCAGGAGTGGCTAAGGTGAGTAAAGATAAGATGTCTGAGAAAGGATGCAAGTGGCTAAAGTGAATAAAGAAAGATGTCTGAGAAAGGCTGCAGAAGTGAATAAAGACAAGATGTCTGAGAAAGGCTGCATGTGGCTAAAGTGAATAAAGACAAGATGTCTGAGAAAGGATGCAAGTGGCTAAAGTGAATAAAGACAAGATGTCTGAGAAAGGATGCAAGTGGCTAAAGTGAGTAAAGACAAGATGTCTGAGAAAGGATGCAAGTGGCTAAAGTGAATAAAGAAAGATGTCTGAGAAAGGCTGCAGAAGTGAGTAAAGACAAGATGTCTGAGAAAGGCTGCATGTGGCTAAAATGAGTAAAAATATGGTGTCTGAGAAAGGCCGCAGGAGTTGCTGAAGTGAGTAAAGACATGGTGTCTGAGAAATGCTGCGTGAGTGGCTAAAAAGAGAAAGATATGATGTATGAGAAAGGCTGCAAGTGGCTAAGTGAGTAAAGATATGATGTATGAGAAAGGTTGCAGGAGTGGCTAAGGTGAGTCCCCTTGTAACTCCGTACAGTGCCATTCTCCTCAGACCTTCATGATCTGTCTGTTCCTCTAGACTGTTAACTCGCTTCCAAAGGGCCCTCACAACATCTAGCCTGTCATGCATCAGTTCACCAACAAGTGGTACAGAACCAGCCAATCTATCTGCCTGTTCATAGACTGCAGGAGTGGCTAAAGTGAACAAAGATATAATGTCTGAGAAAGGCTGCAGGAGTGGCTAAATTTAACAAAGACTTAGTGTCTGAGAAGAAAGGCTGTAGGAGTGGCTAAAGTGAACAAAGACATAATGTCTAAGAAAGGCTGCAGGAGTGATTAAGTCAGTAAAGACCTGATGTCTGAGAAAGGCTGCAGGAGTGGCTAAAGTGAACAAAAGACATAATGTCTAAGAAAGGCTAAGTGAGTAGAGACATGATGTCTGAGAAAGGCTGCAGGAGTGATTAAGTCAGTAAAGACCTGATGTCTGAGAAAGGCTGCAGGAGTGATTAAGTCCGTAAAGTCGTGATGTCTGAGATCGGATTCAGGAGTGATTAAGTTAGTAAAGACGTGAAGTCTGAGAAAGGCTGCAGGAGTAATTAAGTTAGTAAAGACCTGATGTCTGAGAAAGGCTGCAGGAGTGATTAAGTCAGTAAAGACCTGATGTCTGAGAAAGGCTGCAGGAGTGATTACGTCAGTAAAGACATGATGTCCGAGAAAGGCTGCAGGAGTGATTAAGTCAGTAAAGACCTGATGTCTGAGAAAGGCTGCAGGAGTCGCTAAAGTGAGTAGAGACATGATGTCTGAAAGGCTGCAGGAGTGGCTAAAGTGAGTAGAGACTTGATGTCTGAGAAAGGCTGCATGAGTGATTAAGTCAGTAAAGACCTGATGTCTGAGAAAGGCTGCAGGAGTCGCTAAAGTGAGTAGAGACATGATGTCTGAGAAAGGCTGCAGGAGTGGCTAAAGTGAGTAGAGACTTGATGTCTGAGAAAGGCTGCATGAGTGATTAAGTCAGTAAAGACCTGATGACTGAGAAAGGCCGCAGGAGCGATTAAGTCAGTAAAGATGTGAAGTCTAAGAAAGTGCAGGATCCGATATTTTATAGACCTGTCGGCACTCATTGGTTGATGGGATTCACATCAGCAACTGCTTTTAATTCCAGGGACATTTCTTGGTGCTCATTTTAGACTGGGTTACCAGGCCTCAACGACATCCTTCTGAATGTATCAAGGCTGCTGGCAACCAAGATGTGGGGAAACCTTTGAATTTTACTTGCAAAGGAATTAAACAGGCTAATTAATTAATTTTTAAGAGCATGCATCTTTCCCATTGCAACATACGCCTGTGAGACCTGGACACTTACTAAACAAGCGGAACAGCGCATAAATGCATTTGAATATAAATGTTACAGACAGGTTCTAAGAATATCTTGGGTAAAGAAAAGAACAAATGCATCCATACTTCAAGAGCTGAATTTGAAGAGGGTTGGCTAGTAAAGACAATAAAACAAAGAAAATTGAAATATTTTGGTCACTTGAAACGTCATGGAAGTCTAGAGAGAACAATAATGGAGGGGTATATGCCGGGGAAGAGAGGAAGAGGAAGGCCAAGGAGAAGATGGGTGCAGGATGTGGCAGATGATCTCCAGATGGGTGTATCAGACGCAGGACATCTTGCTCAGGATAGGAAGGTTTTCCGGAGGGTTGTTATGGCAGCGAGGTTCCGCGAGGGACATGCTACTGAATGAATGAATGAATTAATTAATTCCATTACAACGTCTTTCACGAAGCCCCAAAACTGAGCAAAGGCTAATGCAAATTTTGAAAAACGTATGACCCCGCTGCCCCTTTTCCACCATGGGCGCCAAATACCCTAGCTACGCCCCTGCCTGTCCTGTCTTTATGTCACATCGGACTAGCAATCTATTAATTCTATGCTCTGCAGTCTTCTCCAATTCGTAGATGACATCTAGTCCAGCAGCTTAGATCTCTCTCAACAACGTTAATTTTGGGGATTCTCTTAGACGCAGAGGTCTCTGTTGCGAAGTGGTCAAGCCGTTTGCCCCACGTTCAATACACAAGTGGTGCGTTTATCGAGATCCTTGGAGATCCTCACTGGAGCTACGGAGTTCGTCCCTTGTTGGACATTCTCGGCAGGCAGCAGTGAGACCTAGCCATTTGGGATAAAGCCGTGTGCAACGCAGTTCATCCTCGGGACGTCATCACTTGCTACCCTAACTCCCCGTTTGGGTTCCAGGGCCCCATTATGGGGAAAACAAGAAAAGACCCACTGCCTCCCCAACAAGCATGTCGTAGGAGTCGACTAATTTGGTACTTCCTTCAAAGTCGGTGTGCAACTGCCCGTGCGGCAAGGAGCAACTACACACAAATAAGTCAGTAAAACGGATACACACGCAAAACTCTATTCTCTGGCACAAAGTCCAAAAGGATGAACAACCAGGACTTTCCGCCGGTGAACAGAGAAGAAGAAAATGAAGCTACCATAGCATAAGTTTTGTTTTGTAGTTTTCGAATGTTACAAAGTTTTAGGATCAACCCACTAAGGAAGGTGAAGGCAGTTGTCTAAGGGGAAAAAAAAAAAGCAGAAGTCGCGCATGCTCACTGAGGGCGAGCCCGTATGTAGGCAAGCGCGATAAAGAGTCAGACATTTTGCGCCAACTTTCTCCAAACACACAGGGATGCCTGTACAATATCGGCAACTGTAACCGTCACACTCCACTGTCGATTTTTCTGGATGTACTGTTGTAAAGTTGAGATGTAATTGTTGTGGATTTGTAGTGAATTTAGGCGCATTGGAGTTGAGTTTGTCGTGTTTCGTGGCTGGAAAGTGATCGAGTTGTGCAGTATTTTTGTTGGGTGACGATCTTTTTCTTAGGAGATGGATTCCCAACTGTGAAAGATTTTTCCAAATGGTAACCGTCATATGCCAATGTCGGATTCTTTAAACGTAATGTTATAATCCTTAGACTCAATTGTTGTGGATTCGCAATGAGTTTAGGCGAAAATGAGTTGAGTGTGTCGTGTTTCAGGGCTGCAAACCTATCGAGTTCATCAACTTCAGCAGTGTTTTTGTTTGTCGACTAAAGACCGTTAGGAGATGCCCAACTGTGAAGCTGTTTCCTCGCGTGAATTGTGAAGTCATTGCCAAGGAACAGTGTTTGGATTTATATACAGCTAAAGTAGCCGGTAAAGAGAACCATGTCGAACGCTGAACTATGGGATTTGGATACTAGTGGGGGAATCATGGAGGTAAAGTTTTTTTAAACACTGAAAATGACAAAATGTATTCTTGTAGGAATAAATGTGTAGTAGTTAGACATTGCATGCCACAATTATGTTAATGGCAGTTCTATTTCTGTGTATGACTGATTATGAAATGGTAGCTGCACTTGTGACAGTTACTGAACTATAAATTACCAACAACAAACTATGAACCAGTGGCCTTCAGTTGTTACGGTGTACATACATATACTTGAACCGCCTACATGTAGCCATTAAAATAAAAGTACACTTGTTCTTGTTTGTTTGAACACAAAAGTGATCTTAGGAGTAAAAAAATTAGCAGTATGTACAATTATTATTACTTACTTAGTCACACTTCTTCTTTCTACCTCGGAGTGTAGAAGTTTGCCAGAGAGATCATTTAGACTTCTCTATCAGCAGTTTTCTTTCTGGCTTTGGTTGATTCCAGTCCTCTATCCATCAGGGACTGTCTGATGTTGTCTTCCCACGTGACCTTGACTCGCCCTGGCAGTCTGGTTTCCTGGTTCTTAGCCTCTCGTGCCTGCCATAGTGGCAGATTTTCTCCCAGTCTGTATTCATGACCCAACCATCGTAACTGTGATTGATCCACTAGAGTTTGTAAGGCCTGGATTTCAAGATCTTGACGTATTTTCTGGTTGCGAACTTTATCCTTTCTTGTCTTGTCACTTGGACCACCTTTCTCAGATATCTCATTTCTGAGGTCTGAAGCTGGCTTCTGTGGGCTGTTGTCATTGCCCATGATTCACATCCATAGGTCAGGACTGGTACATAGGTAGAGCTACAATTATTATAAGATCGTGAAATAAAATGCAAATTATCAAAACGAGCAAATAACCCAACATGAAAAAACTATACACTGAGAGGCTGAATTAGAGTCACTGACACTTGAGTACTTTACAACACCATATCGTACCGTGCCCTAGTTCGGCTACCTATCATCTGTTGAATGTCCACTACTACTGGCCTCACTCATTGATGATCACATGGAAAAGCCACGCCTGATGCATGTTTCCCATTAAATGCTGTTGCTGATAAGTGCCATTGGCTGCGAGAGAAGTCTAACATGATGGGGAAGCAAGATGCCCATTTTGTATGGTTAATCACAGTCTCGGAGAGTCGCCATGGCGTAGCGGCTAGACGCTCGTGTGTGTTTTTGAAGGTTGTGCTCCCTGGCTGAGCCTGATTTTTTTTTTTTTTTTTTCAAAAATGACCTTGACTCCTTTTTTTGAGAGGCAAGGAACCAACAATCTTCATTCAGGTGAATCAGATTTGTAAAACTGATGAACATGCAACACTCAGGTTCTGGAGCAGGACTGCAGTTCAGAAGTGAACGAGCAAGAACTTTCCGCCACAGTGTACAGCTGGTGGACACGAGGAGGAAGAGGAAGACCTTGACTCCCAGGTCAACCCAGCCTTGAGTGAGTATCGGGTGCAGTCCCGGGAAGTAAAGGCGGCTGGCGTGAAGCTGACCACATCAACATCTTGTGTCTATGGGTCTAGCCCTATACGCCTAAAAGGCATGGAAAAGGTTAACAGTCTCAGATTTGTGGCCTGCTTCCTGGTAACCCCTAAAGGGTGTAGCCTGAAATGAGAGGCTCAGTACAGTATATGGATGTGAGGTTAAGCATTTGTGTGCAGGACGTGATGATTCCTTGCAGTGAACCTAGTAGCATTTGTCAAAGCCACCCTGCAAAGCGGGGAATGTCCATGTTCTATCTCTGCATTCCATGAAGTGCCTGCCAGTCTGCACATGGTTGCCCTGTACAGGGGGAGGGGGCCTAATTGGGGCAACACCTGTAAACCAGAGAATGCCCGGCTTGCTAGCTCAGCTGATTAAACTTTACTTCACGGCAACCGGGTGAGGAACTCCTTGTGGTCTGGGTTCACGCCCAGGGGTAGGTAGAAAAGCCTCATTTCTCAGAGATTTACAGTATCTGTCATGGAATCAAAGCCGAAGGGTTGTGATATCCATAATACCGAGCTTCTGGGAGAAAAAAAACCCAGAGAATGACAGTTACCATACAAATGAAGCAGTAGATAGGCTCACAGTTTTCCATGACACTTACCGGGAAGACTAACCCGGGCAACAAATTTCCAGAGAAATGAGATGTGTTGGCCATAAGTTGCAAATATCACAACTATGCTGTGAACAGGCAGTACACAACTATGTTACTTGGACAAACGATGAATAAGAAGAAATACTACGGCCCAAAAGTCAAGAAAGTGTTTCAACATATCTGATTCACAATTTTATTTTTGTGCATTTTAAAGAACCCATTAATATGTTGTGTATAAATGTGGCTGCTCAAATTGTTTCAGCAAATTCAGTTGCTGGTGGCTCCCCCTGTTAGTGCAGATGCCCTGCGGCGCTCTCGCCGGCGGAGAGAAAATGCTTATCGGCGACCAGGGCGTGCTGTGAATCATGATTCCTGTGACAGCTGCAGAGAAGGAGGGGATTTGATTTGTTGTGATCGTTGCCCGGCTGCATTTCATTTATTATGCCAGTAAGTTGTGCATTCACTTGTTTTTTTGTTGAGTTGGAATGTTTACATGTTTAACTTTGAAAGCTAGTTCTGTCTGTCTGCATTCTGTCATTGTTGATAAATAAGACAGTCACAGATATCTCCAGTACTTGCTGTCTGCTGCTTTTCTGCCAGTGGTTCAGAGTGAACTGAAATCTTAGGACCGCTCTCATTTTCAAAAGTCTGGCCAGACCTCAGAACCCATGTAAGGAGTTAAAGTCTTAAGGATTATTTTCTGACCAAGACTTTAAAAATGTGTACAACAGTACAAGGTATTCCAGGAAGAAAAGTTAATGATAAGAATTGGCCACTCTTTCGTGTATGTCATGGCCTAGAACAGAACTGTTCAACTACCTTATTTTTCCCAAGTATCAGACGATCCTGCGTTTAAGACGCACCTTGATTTTGGACTGGAAATTTTGAGAAAAAATTTATGATTTCATGAAGTTATTGAACTTCTTCTTCTTCTTCGCGTTCACCAGCTGTACACTGGCGGAAAGTTCTGGTTGCTCGTCCACTACTGAACTGCAGTCCTGTTCCAGAACCTAATTGTTGCGTGTGCATCAGTTTTACAGATCTCATTCTCTTGAATACAGACTGTTGGTTCCTTGCCTCTCCGGCAGGTGCACTCCGACTTCAAAGGAAGCTCCCCAATTAGTCGACTCTTACGACATGCTTTTGGGGAGGCAGTGGGTCTATTCTTTTTCCCACAATGGTGCCCCAGAACCCACTCAGGGGAGTTATTGAACTGAAGTTTTTTTAAATTTATCATAGAATCCGAAAACTCATCACTGTCAAAACCTCATCCATGTGATAGCTTGTCCTCATCTGTGTCTAACAATGAATCACTGTTTTCATATATTGGCTCATCCCCAATTCCATCTGGTATTTGAAATGTAATACGTTTCAAGTTGATTTTCTCCATTTGATGTAGCCCCGTACCTGGCATTCCCAAATGAGGCCCTGTACAGGATATTTCCTTACAAATCAATTAGTAAAGATCTACTGCTGTTGGGTAAGACGTAGACTGTTTTTGACCTTATATATTCTGCATATGTGTTCCGGGGGCTCCATTGTGGGGAAAACAAGAACAGACTCACTGCCTCCCCAACAAGCATTTCATAAGAGTCGACTAATGGGGCTTCCATCAAAGTTAGAGTGCTTCTGCCTGAGAGGCAAGGGTTTGTCATCGTGGAAATGGTCGTCTTTATTGGAGTTGATTGAAAGTACATGAGACAGAAGGTTGTGGATAGACATGACTACCAATACCACACGGTGTGGACATTAAGAAGAAGAAGATGTGAAGGATTAAAACTCTTGGCTCTCCTGTCAACTACGGCCGGTAGACAACAGTAGACGGCCGGTTAGTCGGAGTTCTGTCCTCCTGGACAGGAGGAAACGAAACAAATGACATAATTACTGTGTGTTGGTGATAGACAGCGTGCACTGCCCTGCTATAATCATACGGTTAGGGTTTAGTTTAGGGTTAGGGTTAGGTTTAGTGTTAGGGTGTGGGTTAGGGTTACGGGTAGTGTCGCCGCATCTGGTCGTCGCACAAACTCAAAGTAGCAACCCTAATCCTAAACCAAACCCTAACCCAAACCCAAACTGTATGATGACAGTAGGGCACTGCACGCTGTCCATCGCCAACACACAGTAATTCTGTCACTTGTTTCGTTCCCTCTAATCCACTCCGTAATGCGTCGCAAGAAGCGGTAATTGAACGCAGTCGCTAATTTGAGTCGCAGCTCGGGGTCTGCTAGGCATGTCGACCTCACTTTGTGGTCTGATTCGTGCCTTCTCCACTCCGTAATTGCACTGCAGCCAGGGGACAGAACTCCGACTAACCGGCTGTCTACTGTTGTCTACCGGCCGTAGTTGACAGGAGAGCCAAACTCTTTTTAGCAGCAACTGCTATTGTCAGTCAACATATGTGTGTACACATTTTATTGGTAATTTCAGCGATCCGCCCCTGATTGAAGAGGAGCTCCCTACCGGTGAATGGCTGTGTCACAAGTGTAAAATTGCACCTCAGGAGGTAAGTCTTTTTCTGTGTTGCACGTATAAATGAAACGGGTTGAACCTGTGCTAAAGCTTCTTCTTCTTCTGCCTTCTATCCCCCAGTGGAGCATAGATCTTCAGCATTCAGTGTTGTATACAGCTCGTCTCATGTCCTCCAAATCTTTAATCTGTCACAGTTTATGCTAAATTAAGTACTCCATTAATAAAGACTTCTGTTGAAATGTTCGGTTGCAGTTTTGAGCGGAATATCAATTCTCTCCATTGATCTTTATAGTTGCATTTCATGCTGTATTTATTTTAGATTTCATTTTGTGCCCATTACCTTTTATTTCTTGTGTATTTTAAAAACATGCTATTTATTGCTTTGAGAATTTATTTTGTGCCTGTTACCTTTTATTTCCTGTGTATGCAGACATTTAATTTCTTACTTGAAAAGTTTTGCAGCTGTTATCTTGTGATTGAAAATATGTGTGTGTGCATACACACAAAAAATTTTTTTTTTTAAAGTTCATTAACTTGCTTAACCCTGTGTGTCTTGTGCATTCAGCAGACCAAAGATGACGATGCAGAAAGCACATCTAGTAAATCGTCTAATCGGTCCATCAGAGGCAAGAGGTTGGCTCCGTCCACTGATTCCGAAGGGAAGAGAGGCTCTACTAATGGGGAAACAGATGGTGATCAAGAGCATCCCTTGAAGACTCTCGCCAAGGCCGCTCGTCTGATGAACCCGATGCAGTTTGACCTGGGGAAGGAGATTTCATGTAACAAACCATTGCCAGGTAAAGGTGAAAATTTTTTCTTCTTCTTTGTGTTTACCAGCTGTACACTCTGGCGGAAAGTTATGGTTGTTCGTCCGCTTCCGAACTGCAGTCCTGTTCCAAAACCTGAATCTTGCGTGGGCATCAGTTTTACAGATCTGATTCACTTGAATGCAGACTGTTGGTTCCTTGCCTGTCAGGCAGATGCACTCGGACTTCAAAGGAAAAAGGAAGAAAATTTTGTGTTTGTTTACTTATCACCTCATCTATTCTCATCTTGATCCTCTGATACCTTGTGTCGAGGTGAAGTATAATTTAAGGAAAATAAATTTCTTGTAACAAACCATTGCCAGGTCTGTAGATCATTGCTGGCTGTGGTATACTGTCTGCTGACGTCCCGGTTATATGGCCAAACCATTTCACCTGTTGTCTTCTAATGAAATCCAGAGCTTTTGCTAACTACCCCCCCTTCCTTCCCAACCCTCTCCTCTCCTCTCCCCTTTCCTCTCCTCTCCCCTTTCCTCTCCTCTCCCCTTTCCTGCAATGTTTGTTGACTGCTGATTGAAATAACTGACTTTTTGTAGTGCAATAGCATAGCAGATAATAGAGGCCCAAGCCTTTGCGATCATCAACAGAAAAGAGAAGGCCAATTAGTGACAGATGACTTGAGGCTGCTGACATCTGCAATAGTGAACCTCAAGGGCTGAAGAAGAATAATGATAGTGTTGGCTTATTTTTCTTCTTTGGCTACCCGCGAAGTGTTCTTGTTTGGTGACACTCCTGTTTTACTTGCTGTTCTTGCAATCTGGCCATAGTTGCAGATTCAGTGTTCTCAATTGGCTCACTCAAATGTCTTAAATCTTGTAGAGCATTCATTATATCAGCCTGGTCCATGGCTTGTCTGGCTTTCACAGTAAAGCTTGCTTATGTCCTTGTATTACATGTCCTGGCATGAAAATGAAACTAATCCTTGTCAGCCGTAAATGCTGTAGAGCCACCAACCACTGCCTTCGGACCCAGCCCTTCTCTATCTTTCTGAGCATACTCATTGATCACTGAGATCTAAAATACAGTGAATTATCTGGGGGGGGGGGGGGGGGGGGGGGGGGGGGGGTAGAGTTTCATGTAGATATTCAGCATTGTCACATAGGCAGCTGGTACTGTTAGCATGCCCAAGAAGGGGACAGCACATTTTGAAATGTCCTGAGTGCAATGATGTTAGTTTTTTGATTGATTGATTGCAGCCACATGTACACATTTAAAATCGGCAAATCAGCCATGTGCACATATGGATTGGTACTTGAGACAACAAATCATGTCCTTCAAGACTGTCCCAAATACAACATATTAGGGTAAAAGTTTTGCCCAAGAAAGAAACATCGGTGCAAGTCAAACTTCATGGCTCGCTGAGTGAACTACAAGACAGGGAAGTTTTTACTACAGACAAACATTGCAGATATTGATAATTTATTTCAAGGAAAAAAAAGAAGAAGAAGAAGATTGATTCATTCATTCATTCCGCAAACAGGCAGCAGCAAAAGAGTCTATGGCAAGCCTGTAAGACACCTGCCCAAAAAACAAGCACATGAATTGGACAACGGTCTGGTCCCACTGCCGGCAAAGACCTGCTTCACTTGCAGCAAGTATGTATTTTGTGTCATGATTGTTAAAAAGATTATTTTTCTTTTTTGTCCACACCGGCTGTATACTCTGGCAGAAAGTTTGTTACATTTTGTTTTACAGATCTGACTATTTTGTATGCAGCTTGTTGGTTCTTTGCCTCTCTAGCAGATACACTCTAGCTTCAAAGGAAGCCCCCAGTTAGTCAGCTCTTATGACATGCTTGTTGGGGAGGCAGTGGGTCTGTTATTGTTTTCTCTTCCTCAGTGGGGCTCCAGAACTCACACAGGGAAGTTAAATAGATAATACAGCAGCTGTTCCCCATGTGGGTTCCAGGCCTTTTCATAACAATATTATGAAAGATGACTAATTAAGGGTTTTCTGAAATCAGCTGTCCCCGTGTGGGTTCCAGGGTTCTGTTGAGGAGAAAACCAGAATAGACCCACTGCCCCCCCCCCTCCCCATAAGCATGTTGTATGTGTTGAATAATTGACTAACAGGGGGAGGGGGGGGGGGGGGGGGCATCCTTTTAAGTTAGAGCATCTGCCTGAGAGGAAAGGAACAAACAGTGCATACAAATAAGCCAGATCTGTAAAACGGATATACAGCAACACTCAGATTCTGGAACAAGATTAAAGTCTGGAGGTTTACAAACAAAAAGAACTTAGTCGGAGTTTACAGCCATTAAATGCGAAGAAGAAGAAGAAGTCAGATGTTTTATGCCAAAAATGCATGTATTGCAGCCTAGCTGTAAACCACAACACAGTGTACCAACCACCCCTTTTTTAATGATGAATGCAGAAGTCAGTAGCTTCCTGATGTTGCTTTAGGTTTACCAGTCAAAATTATTGTTTTCATTATTTCATTGTTTTCCTTGCAGGAGCTGTAGAGTTGCCCCCTTGATCCAGTGTGACTACTGCCCATTACTGTTTCATCTGGACTGTCTGAACCCGCCCCTGACATCTGTGCCCACTGGCAGGTGGATGTGCCCCAACCACGTGGAGCATTTTCTAGTGAGTACCCTGGCTCAGCGTTCTTCAACCTTTCTACACAGGGGAAATTGTTTTGTGGTCCATCTGAGAGCTAACTAAACACAGAAACAAAAGCAATTGTAGATAGCAGGTTATTTGTCACAAATTTCAAAATTTTTAGCTGTAGTAATATTATCTGTTGATTGTCACCCCTGGGTTAATTCCACGGGCTGCAGTCCTACAAAAGAAAAAAAAAACTACCAATCCGACTCGTTACATGTGAAGGCAGAATTTTTTTTTTAAACGGCTTACTTGGGCTTTTCTACGACCCACTGGTTCAAGAACACTGCTCTAGCTTCTGACAGATGGATAGACAGAGACATGTTCTTCTGATCTGGCAACTTCTGCAGCATGCTTTGTTTTAAGTGTATTAGTGTTACCTTTCCTTTAGTGTCAACAAGGCAGGCTAAGAGGAGGATAGTGATACATGGGCAACACATGGTCTCTACAGTACTAAGGTTAAGGGCTATGTAGAGGACATAGGCTGTGTTTCTAATGTACCTCCATAGTGGTGTAACACCATCTGGAAAAACGAAAAGGTGCCAACCAACTCCAGCTGATTGGGTTTGAATCCATACCGCAGCAGATTTTAAACAAATGCTTCAGTTTCAGTGTGACTCAGCCTAAAATCATGTCCTGGGAAGTAAATGTAGCTTGTATGACATTGACCGCAGCATCCACCCAGTGTTGATTCTGTCTACTATCTATATCCTCTGTATAAGGCTGATACATAAGGCGTTGATACATAAAGCGTTTACACGTGATCTCCATTACTGCCAGTCTGTTGTTTGTCTGCCTCATGATATCCCATGTCAGTTCACATTTCTTCATTTCCCTTTTTCTACTGTCCTTCTCACAAAGAGAACTGATTGCTCTGCATCAAAGCTGCATTGCGATTCTACTTGCACAATATTACAACAGTAGCCATTCAGTCGGCATGAATCAGATGTGCATGCTACACTCAGGCTCTGGAATTAGACTTGAGTTCAGAGGTGAGTGAACAACCAGTACTTTCTGTCGGAGTTACAGCAGGAGAACCTGAAGAAGATAAAACTCAGTAGAAAAAAAATTCTGTAGGTGATATCTATTAAAGTATGCATCATCTAGTTTAAAAAAAAGGTCTATTGGTGATATCTGTTTCATTAAGCATGCATACATTTTTTTAAAGCAGCCTCTATAGAGAAAGAAGTAAAGTAAAGGACCCTTTTCCACGCCTTTAGGCATATAGGGCTAGACCTATATTTGTAAAGACCAAACGGCACAAGATGGGTGATGTGGTCAGCATCATGCCGGCCGCCTTTACTTCCCAGGACTGCACCCGGTACCCACTCAAGGCTGGGTCGATCTAGGAGTTAAGGTCATAAAAAAAATTTCTGGCTCCGCCAGGGAGCGGACTCGCGACTTTCCGACCCACACACAAGTGTCTAACCACTACGCCACGGCGACTCCCCATACAGAAAGAAGTACTTTTGAAAAATGGTTGGAATAATGTCTTCTGTGCTTTACAATTTTGTTTTGTAAATTTCTCAAACAGGATTCTTGCTTACTAAAAAGCCAGAGCCTAACGGAGAGGTTGCGGCTGTGGGATCGGTATACCGGTTTAGTGAACAGCCACACTGTCAAGGTGGATTTTCTCAACAGGGTCCACAAAAAGAACCCCATGTTCCGCTACAAGAGGAAGCTTCCACCAAGATCCACCATAAGTGTGAGTATGTGTAGGCAGTGCTGACTGTATGGTAACAGTGGAATTATTTCTCTGGCTGGTGCGTTTTTGGTGGTCAACCTAGCTGTTATGGTTCTGTTGTGAACCTGTATGTATGTTTCTAGGGCTAACTTATCTTGTATGTTTCTGGGGTCAGACCAGCTAAAATACTTCTGGAGTGAACCTAACTTGTGTGGTTTTGGGGCTGCCCCAGTATGTATGGTTCTGGGGTCAGAACAGATTACACAGTTCTAGGGACAACTTATCTAATTTGCTTCTGGGATCTGAACAGTTAACCTAGCTAATGTAGTTGTGGGAGTCAGACCAGCTAATTTGGTTCTGGGATCAGACCAGCTAACATGGTTCTGGGATCAGACCAGCCAGCATGGTTCTAGGATCAGACCAACTAACATAGTTCTGGGATCAGACCAGCTATAACATGGTTCTGGGATCAGACCAGCTAACATGGTTCTGGGATCAGACCAGCTAACATGGTTCTGGGATCAGACCAACTAAGATGGTTCTGGGATCAGACCAGCTAACATGGTTCTGGGATCAGACCAGCCAGCATGGTTCTGGGATCAGACCAACTAAGATGGTTCTGGGATCAGACCAACTAAGATGGTTCTGGGATCAGACCAACTAACATGGTTCTGGGATCAGACCAGCTAACATGGTTTTGAGATCAGACCAACTAACATAGTTTTGGGATCAGACCAGCCAGCATGGTTCTGGGATCAGACCAGCTAACATGGTTCTGGGATCAGACCAGCTAACATGGTTCTGGGATCAGACCAGCTAACATGGTTCTGGGATCAGACCAGCTAACATGGTTCTGGGATCATACCAACCAGCATGGTTCTGGGATCAGACCAGCTAACATGGTTCTGGGATCAGACCACTAACATGGTTCTGGGATCAGACCAGCTAACATAGTTCTGGGATCAGACCAACTAGCATGGTTCTGGGATCAGACCAGCTAACATGGTTCTGGGATCAGACCAGCTAACATGGTTCTGGGATCAGACCAGCTAACATGGATCTGGGATCAGACCAGCCAGCATGGTTCTAGGATCAGACCAACTAACATAGTTCTGGGATCAGACCAGCTATAACATGGTTCTGGGATCAGACCAGCTATAACATGGTTCTGGGATCAGACCAGCTAACATAGTTCTGGGATCAGACCAGCTATAACATGGTTCTGGGATCAGACCAGCTAACATGGTTCTGGGGTCAACCCAGTGAGAGTGGGATAATCCATTTGGCAAGGATTTTCAAAGATAAAGTATGTTGCGATGGTTCTGGAGTATGCCCACCTGATCAACCCACTGTTATAATCCACCCAACTCGTATGATTCTAGAATCCAGTCTGCTAGTTTTGTTCTGGGGTCATCCCGCTGGGATAATCTGCCCAGTCAGTTTGATTCTAGAATCTAGTCTTCTGGTTTAGTTTAGGGGTCAACGCAATGGGATAATCCACCGAGCTGGTATGATTCTAGGATCCGATCTTCTGCTTTGGTTCTGGGGTCAACCCACTGGAATAATCCATACAGCTGTGGTTCTAGGATTATAAGTCAGCTGGTTTGGTGATAGGGTCAGTGCAGTTGATTTTGTTATAGTTCAGCCTATCTGAGTGCCAGATGATTCTAAGACTTTCTTCTGCTGGAGCCCATGGGGACTGAAGAAATACAGAGAGAGACTTCAAAAAACATGTAGAGTAGAGAATTAGAGGACACAAAAAAGTACAAAACTATGAAATGCAGCTACATCCCTAATGAATCACTTTTTACAACAAGCTTGTCTGGGGCTTGAGCGATGCCAACATGCTTTGTAATGCGGGGCCTGCCAGTTTCAATTCCAACTGCAGGTGATTTGGCAGCAGTCTGCCTTGAGCTGGTTTCGACAGTGATATCAAGAGCTGACTGTGGCAAACTTCTGGATGTAAAATTTGTCTAGGAAAGCCACAACAGCCAGATTTAATGCTGGGGTTGGTTTTGCATTATTCTGTAAAGGATACATAACTAACTCTTTGTATTGGGGGATTGGGGGGGGGGGGTTTGTGTGTGTGTGGAAATGCATTTATTCATTGAACCCCCCCCCCCCCCCCCCCCCTTTCCCTAAATGGGGCTCTGGAACACACATTAGGATCTAGAGAAGTAACGGCTAACCTTATTGCCATTATTGTCTGGTGAAATTTGTATTTATTTTATCTCCAGGTTCCTCCAGCAATCAAATATTTCTATAAAAACCCACCTTCACTGTTGCCGGACCCAGCCAGGTGTATGCTGTCAACAGACACAACCACTGAGTTACCAGGTGCTCGTGGCCCCTCTGTTGCTTCACTTGAGGAGCAAGAAGAGGTCAGATTTCTCAGCGCAGGCTGTTGTTGTTGTTGGCCTTCCCCGCTATCCCTAGTCCCCGAGCCTATTTTCAATCCTCGAAAGTCCTCATTCCCCGTGTGGGTTTCGGGGCCCTGTTATAGGGAAAACAAGAATAGACCCACTTCCTACCCAAAGGCATGTCGTAAGAGTCGACTAATTGGGAGTTTCCTTCGAAATCAGGGAGCCTCAGCCTGAGAGGCAAGGAACCAACAGTCTGCACACAAATAAGTCAGGTCTGTCAAACGGATGCACACGCAACACTCAGGTTCTGAAACAGGACTGCAGTCTGGAAGTGGACAAACAACCAGAACTTTCTGCCAGAGTTTACAGCTGGTGAATGCGAAGAAGACTAGTCCCCATGCCCGTGTTATTTTCTCTCTAGCCCATATATCTGTGTTCTTTCCTTCCTAGTCCCCAAGCCTATTCTTTCCTCTCTAGTCTCCAAGCCTGTGTTCTTTCCTCTCTAGTCCCCAAACCTGTGTTCTTTTCTCTCTAGTCCCCAGGCCTGTGTTACTTCCTCCCTAGTCCCCAAGCCTGTGTTACTTCCTCTCGAGTCCCCAGGCCTATGTTACTTCCTCTCTAGTCACCATGCCTGTGTTACTTCCTCCTTATTCCCCATGCCTGTGTTACTTCCTCCTTATTCCCCATGCCTGTGTTACTTCCTCCCTAGTCCTCATGCCTGTGTTACTTCCTCCCTAGTCCTCAAGCCTGTGTTACTTCCTCCCTAGTCCTCATGCCTGTGTTACTTCCTCCCTAGTCCCCATGCCTGTGTTACTTCCTCCCTAGTCCTCATGCCTGTGTTACTTCCTCCCTAGTCCCCATGCCTGTGTGTTACTTCTAGTCCCTGTGTCCCCCATGCCCTGCCTGTGTTACTTCCTCCCTAGTCCCCATGCTTGTGTTACTTCCTCCCTAGTCCTCATGCCTGTGTTACTTCCTCCCTAGTACTTCCCCTAGTCCCCATGTTACTACTTCCTCCTAGTCCCTAAGCCTGTGTTACTTCCTCCCTAGTCCCTAAGCCTGTGTTACTTCCTCCCTAGTCCCTAAGCCTGTGTTACTTCCTCCCTAGTCCCTAAGCCTGTGTTACTTCCTCCCTAGTCCCTAAGCCTGTGTTACTTCCTCCCTAGTCCCTAAGCCTGTGTTACTTCCTCCCTAGTCCCTAGTCTTCCCATAGTCCCCAGCCTTGTGTTACTTCCTCCTAGTTAGTCCCTAAGCCTTTGTTACTTCCTCCCTAGTCCTCAAGCCTTTGTTACTTCCTCCCTAGTCCTCAAGCCTGTGTTACTTCCTCCCTAGTCCTCATGCCTGTGTTACTTCCTCCCTAGTCCCCATGCCTGTGTTACTTCCTCCCTAGTCCTCAAGCCTGTGTTACTTCCTCCCTAGTCCTCAAGCCTGTGTTACTTCCTCCCTAGTCCTCATGCCTGTGTTACTTCCTCCCTAGTCCCTAAGCCTGTGTTACTTCCTCCCTAGTCCCCATGCCTGTGTTACTTCCTCCCTAGTCCTCATGCCTGTGTTACTTCCTCCCTAGTCTCGATGCCTGTGTCCCTTCCTCTCTAGTCCCCAAACCTGTGTTCCTTCCTTCACATGCTTCTTTCCTTTGTTAACATTCTTACCTGCTTCACTCACCCATCTCCCTTCCCCTCTTGATTGATAATGCATTCTGATATTTAAGGGAGAAAAAGGGGGCGACTACTCTTGAAATGATACCAAAAAGTAACTTGAAGCAGCACAGCTGTGACTAGAACACTCAGAAAGGAAAAATGAAAGCTCAACAGAGGGAAAGGAATAGAAAAATCAATTTTCAACATAACTTTTCTAATTATATGTTAGCTTTCATTTTTTAAATGCTTTCATTAAGTTAATTTTTGTGTGTATGTTTATACTTTTTTTCTGGGCGTGACTTTGTGGTCAATTTTTGTGCTAGTTCCTAATAAGTTATCAAGTGGAAATTTTGCACAAACATGCATTGTAGATGACAATGCCATCTGCTGCCAAATATTCTGCAAAATATTCTAAAAGGAAAAAACCCCACTTTTTTTACTTCACTAATTTATAATAACGTAACATTTTATATGGTGATAATGTAAAATATATATTATCAAGGAAAATAATTTGATTTCAAAGGACGTAATTATAAAACACCATCAAAACATTGGCCTCATTGTCTACACTTTTTACTTATAAGCTGAAATTGTTTTTAAACATACTTTGCAGATGTCAATGCAATTGGTATAGTTGGATACTATTTCACTGAAAACTCCATGAATGAGCCTCTGATTTATATGTATGCTCAGTCCTCTGGTGCAGCAACCACTCTAAATGATTCTCGTGAGAGGTTGGTTATAATGTCACCTATCTCAGCCTCCAAGGCTGCATAGACGTGACTCACCATGCTTTACTCCCATGTCACACAATCGTGTTAGTGTCAGAGATTTGTCATTTTCCACTAGCCCAGTCCATACAGCATTGATGATATCTGCTCTGTCCATGCTTCTTCCCACATGTGTTGGTGCATTGTTTGCGGGTTGGTCCGCTTGCTCATTACCTTTTAGGCCAGCATGACCAGGTGTGTAGATCCAGGTAAGGGAGGTTAAATGCAATTTTCCAATGCTTTCAAGTGCTTTCCAGTGAAGACACCAGGACCCACCCCCTCCCCCAACTAGCATGTCTTAAAATGTGACTAGGGGTGTTTCCTCTAAAGCAGAGTGCATCAGGCTGAGATACAAAGGACCAACAGTATGCATACAAGTGTACACTGTGTGCACAAAACCCAAGTTTCAGAACAAGACCAAAGTCCAGAAGTGTATGAACAAACTGAACTTTCCATCGGGGTGAGTGCTTAGAAGAAGAAGAAGAGTTCCATAGTTCCATAACAAATGAACAACATTCTCTCTGCTTATGAATTTAACATTGTTTCTTATCTATTTCAGTGGTTGCTGAGCGTGGTCGCAATGCAAGCCAGCATCGCCAAATTTTTAGCACAGAAACAGTTGCAGAGGCTGTCAGACAGCGGTAGTAAATTACTGGACCCTTCCACCCCAGCAGCCAGCAAACCGACAGCCTCTGTAGCGCCAGTTGTACATACAGACGCAGAGCCATCTTTCTCATCTACATCCCAGTTATTACATTTGGACCCTGGACAGAAACAGACGCGGGTTGTGTCTTCAGCAAATACTTCAACCGAACTTCTTGACTGTGATAACAACAAACAGAACTCAAACTCCTTGCTCAATGGTGAGCGGAAGTCCACCCCTAACGGCAGTTATTTCCAGGACGATAAATTTAGTTCGTATCCAAATTGGGTTTCTGACCCGGCTGCTCGGAGTTCGGTGTCCCTACTGTCAAATTATGTGACCAATAATGTTAGCAATAACACCGCCAGTACACCCACGATGAACGGAGTCATGGATGTGTTGGATTTTCCAGTTTCCAACAATGTGGAGGTTCCAAAGTCAGAATCGCTGCTTCGATCTCGGAGTAACAGTGTGGATTCTCTATCTCCTGCTGGATCATTTGGAAACCCTTGGTTCAGTGGAGACACAGCCAACAGTGACAGAAGCAATAACAACATAGACAGCTGCAAGAATATAGTCATCAGTGCTTTGAATAACGGTACTGCTGTGACTAAAGTCCTGTCTGGAAAACCACACCCTGCTAAGGTAAGGTGTCTCAGTCTTAGTCTCTGTCTCAGTCTTAGTCTCTGTCTTAGTCTTAGTCTCTGTCTTAGTCTCAGTCTTAGTCTCTGTCTCAGTCTTAGTCTCTGTCTCAGTCTTAGTCTCTGTCTTAGTCTCAGTCTTAGTCTCTGTCTCACTCTTAGTCTCTGTCTCAGTCTTAGTCTCTGTCTTAGTCTCTGTCTTAGCCTCAGTCTTAGTCTCAGTCTTAGTCTCTGTCTTAGTCTTAGTCTCTGTCTTAGTCTTAGTCTATGTCCCAGTCTTAGACTCTGTCTTAGTCTCTGTCTTAGTCTCAGTCTTAGTCTCTGTCTTAGTCTCTGTCTTAGTCTTAGTCTCTGTCTCAGTCTTAGTCTCTGTCTTAGTCTTAGTCTCTGTCTCAGTCTCAGTCTCAGTTTTAGTCTCTGTCTCAGTCTTGGTCGCTGTCTTAGTCTCTGCCTTAGTCTCTGTCTTAGTCTCTGTCTTTGTCTTAGTCTCTGTCTTAGTCTTAGTCTCTGTCTTAGTCTTAGTCTCTGTCTCAGTCTCTGTCTCAGTTTTAGTCTCAGTCTTGGTTGCTGTCTTAGTCTCTGTCTTAGTCTCTGTCTTAGTCTTAGTCTCTGTCTCAGTCTTAGTCTCTGTCTTAGTCTATGTCTTAGTCTCTGTCCCAGTCTTAGACTCTGTCTTAGTCTCTGTCTTAGTCTTAGTCTCAGTCTTAGTCTCTGTCTCAGTCTTAGTCTCTGTCTCAGTCTTAGTCTCTGTCTTAGTCTCTATCTTAGTCTTAGTCTTAGTCTCTGTCTCAGTCTTAGTCTATGTCTCAGTCTTAGTCTCTGTCTTAGTCTCAGTCTTAGTCTCTGTCTTAGTCTCTGTCTCTGTCTCAGTCTCTGTCTTAGTCTCTGTCTCAGTCTTAGTCTCTGTCTTAGTCTCAGTCTTAGTCTCTGTCTCACTCTTAGTCTCTGTCTCAGTTTTAGTCTCTGTCACAGTCTTAGTCTCTGTCTTAGTCTCTGTCTTAGTCTCTGTCTGTCTTAGTCTCTGTCTCAGTTTTAGTCTCTGTCTCAGTTTTAGTCTCTGTCTCAGTCTTAGTCTCTGTCTCAGTCTTATTCTCTGTCTGTCTTAGTCTCTGTCTCAGTCTTAGTCTCTGTCTCAGTCTTATTCTCTGTCTCAGTCTTATTCTCTGTCTGTCTTAGTCTCTGTCTCAGTCTTAGTCTCTGTCTGTCTTAGTCTCTGTCTCAGTCTTAGTCTCTGTCTCAGTCTTAGTCTCTGTCTCATTCTCTGTCTCTGTCTTAGTCTCTGTCTCATTCTCTGTCTCGGTCTCTGTCTCATTCTCTGTCTTAGTCTCAGTCTCTGTCTGTCTTAGTCTCTGTCTCATTCTCTGTCTTAGTCTCTGTCTCATTCTCTGTCTTAGTCTCAGTCTCTGTCTGTCTTAGTCTCTGTCTCATTCTCTGTCTTAGTCTCTGTCTCATTCTCAGTCTTAGTCTCAGTCTCTGTCTGTCTTAGTCTCTGTCTCATTCTCTGTCTTAGTCTCTGTCTCTGTCTGTCTTAGTCTCTGTCTCTGTCTGTCTTAGTCTCAGTCTCTGTCTGTCTTAGTCTCTGTCTCTGTCTGTCTTAGTCTCAGTCTCTGTCTGTCTTATTCTCTGTCTTAGTCTCAGTCTCTGTCTGTCTTAGTCTCTGTCTCATTCTCTGTCTTAGTCTCAGTCTCTGTCTGTCTTAGTCTCTGTCTCATTCTCTGTCTTAGTCTCAGTCTCTGTCTGTCTTAGTCTCTGTCTCATTCTCTGTCTTAGTCTCTGTCTCTGTCTGTCTTAGTCTCTGTCTCTGTCTGTCTTAGTCTCAGTCTCTGTCTGTCTTAGTCTCTGTCTCTGTCTGTCTTAGTCTCAGTCTCTGTCTGTCTTAGTCTCTGTCTCATTCTCTGTCTTAGTCTCAGTCTCTGTCTGTCTTAGTCTCTGTCTCATTCTCTGTCTTAGTCTCTGTCTCTGTCTGTCTTAGTCTCTGTCTCTGTCTGTCTTAGTCTCAGTCTCTGTCTGTCTTAGTCTCTGTCTCTGTCTGTCTTAGTCTCAGTCTCTGTCTGTCTTAGTCTCTGTCTCATTCTCTGTCTTAGTCTCAGTCTCTGTCTGTCTTAGTCTCTGTCTCATTCTCTGTCTTAGTCTCAGTCTCTGTCTGTCTTAGTCTCTGTCTCTGTCTGTCTTAGTCTCAGTCTCTGTCTGTCTTAGTCTCTGTCTCTGTCTGTCTTAGTCTCAGTCTCTGTCTGTCTTAGTCTCTGTCTCATTCTCTGTCTTAGTCTCAGTCTCTGTCTGTCTTAGTCTCTGTCTCATTCTCTGTCTTAGTCTCTGTCTCATTCTCAGTCTTAGTCTCAGTCTCTGTCTGTCTTAGTCTCTGTCTCATTCTCTGTCTTAGTCTCTGTCTCATTCTCTGTCTTAGTCTCTGTCTCGGTCTCTGTCTGTCTTAGTCTCTGTCTCAGTTTTAGTCTCTGTCTCAGTCTTAGTCTCTGTCTCAGTCTCTGTCTGTCTTAGTCTCTGTCTGTCTTAGTCTTAGTCAAGGTTTTAACTTCACTGCAATCGGGTTTCCCCAGACTTGCTTAATTCCTGTGCCAGCGCAAATCGATGTCACATTGAAAAAATTTAAAAGGAACGATTAGTCCCAGAACAGACCAGATATATGCGTACACAGTAAATGCATATTTCAGTTACTAGAGGCGCCAAAGCCAACAATACACACGTGGAATTATTACATTAGGGGGCTGTGCAGTCTCGAGCCATGGCATCGGCCTTGAGTGCTGTAGGTCCCGGGTTTAAGCCCTGAGGAAGGCTAGGATTTTTGCACGTGGACTTCTAGAAATTTCCCCCTGGTCTCTGGGTGGTAAGGATGCCGATGTGTATTGTTACGCACATAGAAAATCCCTTGGCAGTTGGAAATAGAAAAGAGTAGCCTAATTGCGCTGCCCAGGCAAAAATATGGAGTTAAAAATTTACCCAAAGTATTTTCAGGATCCTCGCTGGTGCTATAGGGTTCATGTACTGAGATTCTTAGGACTCGGGCTGGAGTCAGAAGTAGAACGGAGCACTTATGGGTTATCACCCTTGTGCCATAATGTTGACCCGTCTAAACCTAAAGAATTATTACACAAGGTATTTCACCAGCTCACATGTAAACCGGCTACCGGCCATATTGAATACCATGACACAACCACTGCACAAATGTGAGGCATTCCACGGGGGGAAAACACAGCTCACAGGGCTGCACCAAGCACTAAACTCAGTAGCTCAGGCAGTGAAACCGTAGACCACCATCCTTATTTAGAAATTGCATTAGCAAAGTCGGAAGTAATAACTTCGAAGCTCAACATCCTGCCATGCCTATTCCTCCATTTCAGGCCTGAAGTAAGCTTTCCTTTTTGTACTGGGTTAAGGAAATACATTTGTAAACTCAAGGACCATTTTTATGCCAGTGATGCAGCGACTCCTTCAGTCCATCTTCTTCTTGATTGTCCCCTTCCTCTTTGTGTTTCTACTTTTATCTTGTACGCTCTCATTGTCGGCATCGTTGTATTCATTCACATCAAAGGGCGAAACACTTTTTATCTGCCCCCCCCCCCCCCCCCCCAATGAATTTAATTATAGGGCGTTGTTCCAGTGGATCTTGGGATTTATCTACAAGACAAATTTTTTGTGGACTGGCTGTTGACAGGAACAAATTGAAATGTATATATCATTTTATTAATTCAATCCAATGTTAGAAAATTAAAGTTTATGGCTAATACAACATCTGTTGCTGTTCAGAAGTTAAAAAATTGCATATACATGGCTGGAGCGTTGTTTCTGCGAGATAAAGCGCTGCAAAACCATCAATTTGATTTCTGTGTTTTGTTTCCATTGTACTTGCAACAAGGTTGGGCGGACATTTTTATGGACCACCAGAAAATTTATCTGTAGACAAATGCCAGTCCGCAGACTGCAGCCAAACTTGGTGAGATTCAGCATTTTATTTGTGACTTGAATCCGTGTCTGCTGGGGTGGACAGGCATGCTACGCTGGTTACGTATGCTCAACTAGATGGATGTTGTAAATGGTCTTAAGGCCACACTGTTGAGAGTGAGGCTGATTGTATATCAATGTCTAATGAGATAAAATTTGATTGTATGCGTGTACCAGTTGTAAGGAATATTGATTGAAATTTTAGTGTCATTTGAGAGGAAAGTTGATTGTATCTCAGTGTGTCATTTGAGAGAAGGATTGATTATACGTCAGCATTAAATAAGAGGAAAGTTGATGGTATATCAATGCCAAATGAGAGGAAAGTTGACTGTATAGCAATTTTAAATTAAGGAAGGTTGATTGAATATCATTGGTAAATAAAAGTTGATTGTTTATCAGACGGTGTCCTTTGAGAGGATAGTAAAATGTGTCATGATTGTTTATCACACTGTGTCCTTTGAGAGGATAGTAAAATGTGTCATGATTGTTTATCACACTGTTTCTTTTGAGAGGATAGTTAAATGTGTCATGATTGTTTATCATACTGTGTCCTTTGAGAGGATAGTTAATTGTGTCGTGATTGTTTATCACACTGTGTCCTTTGAGAGGATAGTTAAATGTGTCGTGATTGTTTATCACACTGTATCCTTTGAGAGGATAGTAAAATGTGTCATGATTGTTTATCACACTGTGTCTTTTGAGAGGATAGTAAAATGTGTCATGATTGTTTATCATACTGTGTCCTTTGAGAGGATAGTAAAATGTGTCATGATTGTTTATCACACTGTGTCCTTTGAGAGGATAGTTAATTGTGTCGTGATTGTTTATCACACTGTGTCCTTTGAGAGGATAGTAAAATGTGTCATGATTGTTCATCACAGTGTGTCTTTTGAGAGGATAGTAAAATGTGTCATGATTGTTTATCACACTGTCTTTTGAGAGGATAGTTAAATATGTCATGATTGTTTATCACACTGTGTCCTTTGAGAGGATAGTTAAATGTGTCATGATTGTTTATCACACTGTGTCCTTTGAGAGGATAGTTAAATATGTCATGATTGTTTATCACACTGTGTCCTTTGAGAGGATAGTTAAATGTGTCATGATTGTTTATCACACTGTGCCTTTTGAGAGGATAGTTAAATGTGTCATGATTGTTTATCACACTGTGTCCTTTGAGAGGATAGTAAAATGTGTCATGATTGTTTATCACACTGTGTCTTTTGAGAGGATAGTAAAATGTGTCATGATTGTTTATCACACTGTGTCTTTTGAGAGGATAGTTAAATGTGTCATGATTGTTTATCACACTGTGTCCTTTGAGAGGATAGTAAAATGTGTCATGATTGTTTATCACGCTGTGTCCTTTGAGAGGATAGTTAAATGTGTCATGATTGTTTATCACACTGTGTCCTTTGAGAGGATAGTAAAATGTGTCATGATTGTTTATCACACTGTGTCCTTTGAGAGGATAGTAAAATGTGTCATGATTGTTTATCACACTGTGTCTTTTGAGAGGATAGTTAAATGTGTCATGATTGTTTATCATACTGTGTCCTTTGATACGATAGTTAATGTGTCATGTGTCATTTAATTGCGTGGCCGTCTTTGATTGTATGGTGTAATTTGAGGGTAAAGTTAATTGTGAGGCTATAATTAAAACTCAGGTTAATTATTTGGCTGTCATTGATTGTACAGCTGTCATTTGAGACTAAAGTTGAATATATGGTTGTCTTTTGAGGGTAAATTAAAGTTGATTGTATAGCTGTCATTGAGAGGAACATTGATTGTTAACTCTTTCCCTCCTAGGTTATTCTTGCAAACAAGGCTTCGGTTTTGGGTAACAGTGTCAGCAATATTGGGGCTCAGTCTCACCATGTCAATGTGCAGCCCCTCTCAGAGACAGGTACCACACCTGTGACCACAAGCTCTGCTCATAAGGTCATCACAGTTTCAGCAACACCGTCAGGTATGTTTTATCATCATTATCCCCTAAAATATCGAAACCCACTGCTGGGTTGTGTGGATTTTTATCATGGTATGGGGCGTCACAGGTTGAATGGGTATCAGGATGTATGTCCTGGAAATGTAAAGACGGCCGGCGTAATGATGACCACATTACCCACCAAGTGTCGATCGGTCTGTAAAAATATGGGTGCTCTTTCCATATGCCTGATGCGCCTAAAGGCTTAAAAAGGGATCTTTACTTGTATTTTATCCCTTAAATATGGTTGGTATGTTGTGGTTTACAATTAGGCGGCGGTATTTGCATCTTTTGGCCGACACACCCTGATTAGTTGACTTTTATGATACACACAAAAGGCAGTGAGTCCAGCAGGAACCAGCAGGGGACTGAGTTTCTTGGAATCTGTTAAATGACAGAGCACACAGAGAGGAATAGAGACTTTCAGGCGTGCCGTTATGTAATGATGTCCTTTACAGGACCTGTTGCTTGATGATGATGCAATGTTTGTGAGAAAACTGGATAACAGTATAAATAGAAGGAAGGTCCTTGCTTTAGACTTACTGGGTCTAAAATTCTCTCTCTCTCTCTCTCTCTCTCTCTCTCTCTCTCTCTCTCTCTCTCTCTCTCTCTCTCTCTCTCTCTCTCTCTCTCTCTCCCCCCCCCCTCTCTCTCTCTCTCCCCATCTCCCCATCCCTCCCTCTCTCTGTTTGTTCGTCTACCTCTGCACTTGAATCTTATTCCAGATCCGTTTACACATCTAGTACATTTGTATGCAGACTCTTGGTTCCTTGCCTCTCAGGCTGATGCACTCCTACTTTGAAAAAAGCCTCCAATTAGTCGACTGTTACGACATGCTTGGGGGGGGGGGGTGTTAATTACGGGCATTTTTTTGTTTAAAGTCACGAGTGCATCTGTCTAAGAGGTAAATTCGGGAGATGTGAACCAGCATCATTGCACACAGTTGTAAACCATAAGTGCTCTGCCACCAGTACCGACAGCTGATAAGAAACTGTCTGCCTGTGTCGCCGTCTGCACGAAACTTCGTAGCTATAGCGACGTTCATCCATTGTCACCAGAGTGTTAACTCTGGTACCCATTTCCCTGAAGCTGGGTGAACCCTAAGAACCGTCCGGTTTCGAACACTGGCCGTGGGCTGCAGCGAGTCACAGCTGGATTTGAAAGTGACGCGGCACTCCTCCTGGAGATAAGGAACTAAGAATCTGCATACAAGCAAGCCAAATCTGTAAAATGGATGTGCACACAGAAAAAAAAATCAAGCCTAGGAACAAGGCCGTAGTCCAAATGTGGACAAACCAGAACTTTCTGCCAGAGTTTACAGCCGGTAAACACTAAAAGAAGAAAAGACAGCTGGATGATGAAGGCCAGAAGAAGAAGGCATGATTTTTGCTGCATCTTGCTATTCAAGCTATATTTATGGCTACACCATTCGTCTGTCAGGTGATTGTTAAAAATATTTAGAGCAACTGTCTTGTCTTGATTATTTTAATAGGTCGTACGGTCAGTATTTCATCTTCCAACAAGACCAACAACATCAACAATATCATTGGGTCATCTTCAGCCATCGCCAACCTCAGCAGCTTGTTGCAGCAGTGGATAGAAGGAAACTCAGGTATGTGAGCAGTGCTTCAAGCCTGTCATAACAGTACATTGCACGTCAGTCTTCTGGCCAAAATGGTGGATAGCCGGCTGACCGTGGATAATCTCAAAAGTTGTTTTCGGCTTTGTGCAAATTCCCCATTTCTGGACTAGGAGTCCATTGGTTCTGTCACCCAGTTGCTGAGTTGGGTGTTTGGTGTGATACTATAAACTGTCGATTTCTTGTGGAATTTGTTCTTTTCTATTGTTGTGCTAGTTGAGTGTTGTTGACTACACTAAACTGGCAGGTTGCTGATTATGTTCATAATGGCATGAGTACTTTGCTTGTGAACTGCAATTCTGGTGTGGGACCGGTAATATTGACACATCTGACAGCTGCCTCATGCATTTATACTTTGCATGTGCAAGCTTCAAGATCTGTATGGGACTGACAAGTATTTCACTTGTTTTCAAATGGGACAGTGGGGGACATTTTATGTGACTTCCCCAGGCACAGGAACGGAGCATTTACGGGAACGACCTATCTGCAATAATGTTGGAACCTTAATTATGAACACACCACAGTAGAGAAGGAAACTCATATATGTGGCTCCCTCTATGGGTTCTGACAGAGGGAGTAGGAAGGGGGGGAGGGGGGGGGAAGAATAGACCGACTGCCCCTCGAGTGTGTTGTAAAAGATGACTAATTAATATTTTGCTGAGAACGGGTGTGTTTTACAAAAAGTTGAATATATGGCAGCCTGGCCGTACACTTCAGCACAGCTTGCCAACTTCTGTGGACTGTGCTGCAGGACTGGTCATTTGTTATGACAGTGCTTGGAAGTTACAAGTCGAGTGGATCGACTTCATTGCACCATGTTGTCTACCATATCGCTCAGTCTTTCGGCAAAATGGCTCAGTCTTTCTGCAAGATGGCTCAGAACTGAAGATGACTAGCTTGATTTTGACCACATCATAACTTGAAGTCTAATCGTCTACCCTTATTCTTTTTCCTCCTCCTCCTCTTCTTCTTCTTCTTCTTCTTTTTCTTTTTCTTCTTCTTGGCAGACACAGGTTTTACGGAAAGTTCAGGTTGTTTGTAGACTTTGTCATGTTCCCGAACTTGGGTATTGCACCCACATCGGCTCTTCAATCTGGCTTATGTGTATGCAGACTGTTGGTTCCTCACACTTCAAAGGATTGTGTTTGTAATGATGGTTATGGCAGCTTCTGTTTTTCTGTGATGATTGTTGGGGGTAACTTATATTTTCATAATGATGTTGGGAGCAGAGATGAGTCATCACACAGGGTTGGGCATGAATATGCTTACAAAATCCAAGCTGGATTTATCAGGCAAGAATGGATTGCAACTCTTCACAAATAGCTGCCCTAACCTTCATCTTAGTCCCAGGTCAAGCGGGTGTTCAAGGGAATGAACGTGCAGACTATCTTGCTGACATTGCGGTTGCTATGGCTGGTCCATTACTGGACAGAAGTGATGTTATCAGGTGCAGCCTGGAGCTGAAAGAAATGAACATTTCACAAAGGAGGTCCAGAAGTCCAGGCCTGCCAACGTGTGTACATGGTCACCCTAGACATGGCTTCCCTTCTAGGGGTCTGGCCAACGCAGATAGGATAGACATTTCCTTCTCTGTCGAATAATAACAGTCTGCCTGTAATAGCAGGAAAACTGATAGGCATACAGCACTCAGATCCTGGAACATGGTTAAAGTCCTGACATAGACAACCAGTCATAACCCTCTGCTGGAGTTCATAGCTGGCAAATACAGAAAAACAAATAATGAAGATTTGTCTTCTTCTTCTTCTTCTTCTTCTTCTTCTTCTTCTTCTTCTTCTTCTTCTTCTTCTTCTTCTTCTTCTTCTTCTTCTTCTTCTTCTTCTTCTTCTTCTTCTTCTTCTTCTTCTTCTTCTTCTTCTTCACATTCACTATGTGTAAACTCTGGTGGAAAGATCTGGTTGTTCGTCCACCTCCAGCCTTGTTCCAGAACATGGGTGTTTGCCTGCACACTTTTGTTTCACAGATCTGGCTTTTTTGTATGCAGACTGTTGGTTTCTTGCCTCTCAGGCAGATGTACTCAGAGTTCGAAAAGTACCCATAATTTGTTGACTCCCATGGCTTGCTTGTTAGAAAGGTGGTGGGTCTGTTCCCTTTTTTTCTTCAAATGAAGCCCTGGAACCCACATGGGGTTAGTGAAGATTTATTGTAACAAGATTTATTGTAACAAGATTTATTGTAACCAGATTTATTGTAACCAGATTTATTGTAACAAGATTTATTGTAACCAGATTTATTGTAACAAGATTTATTGTAATAAGATTTATTGTAAATCTGATTTATGTATTGGTGGATGCCCGGCTCTCTAGCCAAGTTGGTTAAACCTGACTTTCGCGGCGGGTGGGTGACGAACTCCTTGTGGTCCGGGTTCACTCCCGGGGGTAGGCAGAAAAGCCACATTTCTCCCAGATTTACGGTACCTATAATGGAATCAAGGCCGAAGGGTTGCGATATCCATAGTACCGAGCCTAAGGGTTTACAACTCATGGTTTCTGGATACGTAAAAAAAAAAAAATGTATTGGTGGTTAGTTGTGATATATGCCCCTTTCCCCCCCCCCCCCCCCCCCCAAATGTTACAGTTAAGAATGAAGAGAGGTGAAATAGAAAATTAATATGCTATTAGATTTGTTTTGTTGAAAATTAACGCATTGTAGTCAATCACACATATTTGATCTGCCATCTTCCAGTGGACAGTGAGTTCTCAAAGATGGACGAGCAGCTGGCCTACATCCTAGCATGGCAGCGTCTGCAGCAACTGATGCCTTCAAAGCCTCCTCCAGTGATAGCCCCAGCACCAGCACCTCCTGTGTCGAACACCACCTCCTCCCTGCCTTCATCCAGCGGGAAGAAAGGCTTGCTCAGTGTTTATTTGTCTCAACAGAGTAAGTCAAGTTTCTGCTGGTAGAGATTAGTGAGAATCATCAACTTAGCACTCCTAAACAGATCCATGGGGGCTGTGGTCTCCTCTGTAGCTCCTCTAGCATCAAATGACTGATGACTCCTGTTCTGTCTGCATTTATAAAGACTTCATTTGAAACCCTTTCCTTCCCTGTAAGGGTTTAGGGGCTTCATTGTGGGGGAAAACAAGAATGGACCCACTGCCTTTCCAAGAAGCATGCCATCAGAGTTGACTAATTGGGGGCTTTCTTCAAAATCGGGGTACGTCTACCCTAGAGGCAAGGAACCAGCATTCTGCATACATATTAGTCAGGTCTGTAAAACGGATGCGTACGCAACACTGAGGTACTGGAACAGGACTACAGTCCAGAAGTGGACAAACAACCAGAACTTCCTGCCAGAGTTTACACCTGGTAACCGCGAAGAAGAAGAAACCTATTCCAGTGGCTTTATTACAAAAGCTAGAAAGGAAATTAACATTTATGGTAGAATTAAAGAAAGCATTCAGTTTGAATGATATATGGCCTATGGGTTGGTCTGAAACATTCACCATTAGCATTCAGGCAAGCATTCCATTGCTTAGCTAGGCAGCGAATACCGTCTGCTAGATATTGGTTTTAGAAACAGCAGTAATGAAAAATTACAGACAAGATTGGTTTTAGAGACAGCAATAATAAAGAATTACAGACAAGATTGATTTTAGAGACAGCAATAATGGAAGCATTACAGATAAGATTTATTTTAGAGACAGCAGCAATGAAGCATTACAGATAAGATTGATTTTAGAGACAGCAGTATTAAAGGACAACAGATAAGATTGGTTTTAGAGACAGCAATAATGAAGGACTACAGATAAGAATATTTTTAGAGAGAGCAATAATGAATGATTACAGGTAAGATTTATTTTAGAGACAGAAAATTTAAGGACCACAGATAAGATTTTTTTTAGAGACAACAATAATGAATGATTACAGACAAGATTGGTTTTATAGACAGCAATAATAAAGGACTACAGATAAGATTGGTTTTACAGACAGCAGTAATGGAGGACTACAGACAAGATTAACTCTTTGAGTCTCAAGGAACGCATCATACGTTCATAGGTTCCTTCCTAGAAGCCCAATGAACGCATTATGCACCAATTTTTATTAATTTATTTACCACCCCCTGGGCCTGTGATGCTAAACCCCCTGGGACTCAAAGAGTTAATTTTAGAGACAGCAATAATGGACTACAGACAAGATTGGTTTTAGAGACAGCAATAAAGGACTACTACAGATAAGACTGATTTTAGAGACAGCAATAATGGACTACTACAGATAAGACTGATTTTAGAGACAGCAATAATGGACTACTAAAGATAAGACTGATTTTAGAGACAGCAATAATGAAGGACTACAGACACGATTAATTTTAGAGACAGCAATAATGGACTACTACAGATAAGATTGATTTTAGAGACAGCAATAATGAAGAACTACAGACAAGATTGGTTTTAAAAACTGTAGTAATAAAGGATTACAGATAAGATTGGTTTTAGAGACAGCAGTAATGAAGGATTACATATAAGATTGTTTTTAGAGACAGCAGAAATGAAGGACTACAGATAAGAATGGTTTTAGAGACAGCAATAATGGACTACAGATATGATTGGTTTTAGAGACAGCAATAATGGACTACAGATTTTATTGGTTTTAGAGACCGCAATAATTAAGGATTACAGATAAGATTGATTTTAGAGACAGCAGTAATGAAGGACTACAGTTAACAATGGTTTTAGAGACAGCAGAAAGGAAGGATTGCAGATAAGAATGGTTTTAGAGACAGCAATAATGGACTACAGATTTTATTGGTTTTAGAGACCGCAATAATGAAGGGTTACAGATAAGATTGGTTTTAGAGACAGCAATAATGAACTACAGATAAGATTGGTTTTAGAGACAGCAATTATGAAGGGTTACAGATAAGATTGGTTTTAGAGACAGCAATAATGGACTACAGATATGATTGGTTTTAGAGACAGCAATAAGGAAGGATTACAAATAAGGTTGGTTTTAGAGACAGCAATAATGGACTACAGATATGATTGGTTTTAGAGATAGCAGTAATGCACTACTACAGATCAGATTGGTTTTAGAATAAATGTTGCAATACTCTTGAAAGAAATATTATAGTGAACGTGTTTGTTTTCTCAGGTGCGTCTGAAGTTCGTGCCAGAGCTGTGCTGTGTCCTCTTTCTGGAAATGGTCAAGCTGTTCCAATGCCATACAGATGCATGACTTTAGGTACCGGTAAGTGGATCTTCACTGATCCCCCATGGCAAATGCTCGACATAATCTTGCAAAAAGCCTAAGTGGGGGGGGGGGGGGGGGGGGGGGGGGGTGGGGGGGGGGGGGGGGGGGGGGAGGGGGGGGGGGGGGGGGGGGGGGGGGGGGGGTTTGGGGCTGGTAAATGTGACTGACTTCTTGTATATTTTAGTTTTGTTCAGAGAAAGTGTTTCACAATCCAGCACTCATTGTTTTACTTCAGGGTTGTTCAACTCAGTATCCCTTCGGGGGCCAAAATGTGGAACATGAAGATCATCACAGGTCAGCCAGGCATAATCCTGCATGGGCATCACAGGATCTGTCCAGTGCTGCCCAGGCTTTATGCTGTAGAGTGGAGGAACTTCATCCCTGGCCTCTTTTGGTTTTGCCATGAGAATAGAGTGAAGGAACTTCATCTCTGGCCTCTTTTGGTTTCGCCATAAGAATAAAGTTTATGAACTTCATCCCTCGCCTCTTTTGTTATCGCCATGAGAATAGAGTGGAGGAACTTCGTCCCTGGCCTCAGTTGTTATTGCAATGAGAATAGAGTGGAGGAACTTCGTTCCTAACCTCTATTGTTATCGTCATGAGAATAGAGTGGAGGAACATCATCCCCTGCCTCATTGTCATTCTGATGAGAATGGAGTGGAGGAACTTCATCCCTGGTCTCTTTTGTTATCCATGTGAAAATAGAGTAGAGGAACTTCATCCTTGGGGTCTTTTGTTACCGCCATGATAATAGAGTGAAGGAACTTCATCCCCGCCCTTTTTTGTTATCCCCATGAAATTAGAGTGCCGGAACTTTATCCCTGGCCTCTTTTGTTATCCCCATGAGATTAGAGTGCAGGAACTTTATCCCTGGCCTCTTTTGTTATCCCCATGAAAATAGAGTGAATTAACTTAATCCCCGGCCTTTTTTATCCCCATGTGATTAGAGTGCAGGAACTTTATCCCTGGACTCTTTTGTTATCCCCATGAGAATAGAGTGGAGGAACTTCATTCCTGGTCTCTTGTTATACTATGCGAATAGAGTGGAGGAACTTCATCCCTTGCCTCTATTGTTATCCCCATGAAAATGAGTGGAGGAACTTTATCCCTGGTCTCTGTTGTTGTCCCCATGAGAAATAGTTCCCTTGCACACTGGAACACTGTCATCTGGTCAGACGAAAAAGTGCCAGCAAAACAAGCCAACTCGAGCATTATATGTTAATGTCTGTTGCTCTGGGTTTTGATCTCCTGTTTCTGTGTCTCTTTCCATGGAGTGATTGTTTGCCTGCCAAGGTGTTACAATAAGCACGGCACTTCATAGCTACACCAACAGTCCACAGGGATCTCTTAAATAGCTACACTTGCAAATCAAAGGACAGAGTAGGACTTTCGAATCTATAACTTTCATGGCACATGGTGAACCACTGAGACTCCTGTCTGGGCTATAGGCTCGTGGACCCCTGTAGATTCTTTGTAAATATGTTTAATCAGTAGGAAATGTGATACTATGCCAAAAGAGCCATATATCAGAGGAGCAGAGGATACTTTAAGCTTGAGGTAAATCAGGAAGACAACATCAGATCCTCAGAGAACCTCTGCATTCATGAGTGTTCTCTGTTTAGGCATCCTGCGGAGCAAGAACAGAACCCTCCCCCCCCTACACCACCACTACTACTACTACCCAAAGGGTAAAGAAGAATAGAAAATGTCTTCAAGATCTGTTGGAATTCTGGAACACTTCGCTGTGTGAACATATTTAAAGATTGCCAGAAAAGTAGATGTTCTCCTTAAATATCTGTTGGAATTCTGGGACACTTCGCTGTGTGAACATATTTAAAGATTGCCAGAAAAGTAGATGTTCTCCTTAAATATCTGTTGGAATTCAATGTCCATGACACTTCCCATTCTGGGACACTTCGCTGTGTGAACATATTTGAAGATTGCCAGAAAAGTAGGTGTTCTCCTTAAATATCTGTTGGAATTCAATGTCCATGACACTTCCCATTCTGGGACACTTCGCTGTGTGAACATATTTGAAGATTGCCAGAAAAGTAGGTGTTCTCCTTAAATATCTGTTGGAATTCAATGTCCATGACACTTCCCATTCTGGGACACTTCGCTGTGTGAACATATTTGAAGATTGCCAGAAAAGTAGGTGTTCTCCTTCAGTATCTGTTAGAATTCGCTGTCCATAATAATTCCATTCTGGGACACTTTACTGATTGCAGGAGGAGTAGGTATTGAAAGATGACTGTGTGTGTATTTTTAACTGAAGATAGGAGACTTGACTTCCTCTTCTTCTCCCACTTTTCCATCTAACTCCTTTCTTTGGTTTCCTCCTTTCTCTCCTTTACCTTGTGAGAGAGAATGTGTTTATCTCTCTGTGTGTGTATATGTGTGTGTGCACTTGTATGTGTATGTTACATAATGCATGTTGATCTTCCTCCTCATTTCTTCAGTCATCCTCATTTCACACACACACACACACACACACACACACACACACAGAGAAAGAGAGAGTATCATCTCGATTTAACATTTTGAGGAATGAACAGTTTAATCAAATACTGTTTTTTTCTCTCTTCAGGAGCTGATATGGATGTGTGCTTGAACAATTTTGGACATTGCAACTTTGTGTCTGGCCACCACGCGACAATATTCTATGATGAGGTCAGTGCTCTTTCTCCAATTATGTATTTCTTATACTTAATTAATCATCATCATATGCTATGCCAATTGGCGAAGGCGCTCATGCATCTCCACAGATCACGATCCCTGGTTGCCTGGAACAGCTCTCTTGATGATATTCCTCCATGCCATCATTTGAGCCCATCCAGCATCGTCTCTCTTGGTCTGTCTCTGCACCTCTTTCCACTGATCTTTCCAGTTGTCATGATGTTTTCCAATGCCTCTCTTCACATTATGTGGCCAAGGAACATGGTTTGTCTCCTTCTTATTGTTGTATAGAGCTTCATTAGCTTCATTCAGTCATTATTAGTTACTTTGGCCGTGCAGGGTATTTGCAACATTCATCTCAGAAACCACATTTCTGTTGCTTCCAAATTCTTCTTAATTTGTTCACAGACATTCCAATATTCGCTGCCATACAGTAGAACAGGTTCTATTTAACATTTTAGCACTCTCTTTCTGACATTAAATGAGAGCGACTTATTACTGGACAAATATTTTCTTTTAAAGTTGGTGTTCACAACTGCAGAAATAAAGAGACCATAGAAACCATAAAGCAAACGTTAATGAGAGATACCAAAGCTGCTGGGCTGGATTCCATTGATGATATCGAAGGGATTACACAGGATAGATCGGAATGAGGAACAGACTGTGTGTTCCATGGGACCTACAGTGATAGCACAACAGGGCAGTGAGGATGCTAATAGCTGTAGACAGTTACTGTGTTGTATGTAATTGGTGAGAAATGGTTTTACGTTTCTAATAGATAATTATTTTGTTGCTATGGTTTTGGAATTTTGTTTTACATTTCCAGTAATTGCTGCAAATAATTATTGCATTGCCAAAATAATTCTCTCCCCCCCCCCCCCCCCAGAAAAACATGCACCCTGTCATACTGTTCTGTAAAAGTTGTTTTTAAAGATAAAAATTGTTCTTAAAGATATAAATTGTTTTTTTAAAGATTTAATTTAAAGACAGTTATTGCCACAGTCACCGCAGACTGCGCAGGTTAGGAATTAATTTTTCCAGTGACAGACTCATCCACTTATTGAGGATGTGAACCAGTGTCTTCCAAAAGTGTGTCCAGTGTTTTAGCTACTAAACCAGACCCCAACCCTTTTTTTTCTCCCCCCCCCCCTTCCCCGGGTCCGACCCTTCTCCGTGCATAATGTCAGATGAGACGTCGCTTCTTTCTTGACAGACACAAATCTCATGACCTTACAGAAGACTCAAACCCGGCTCTTTTGAGTGGGAGAGCCCAGTTTTCTAACTACTCCTGAACCTTCTCCATGCAGTGTCTTTTTTCCTGCCATCCGCAGATGAGTCTACATTTTTTTGACTTTGACGAAGCGCTTGAAACATCCAGGAAGGACCAAAAAAAAATCCAACCATACCAAAGAAATAAACCGAGACGCAGAGAAACGCCATGCCTAATAGGAACCAACAAAAAAACCCCAAAAAAACAAGACATCCAAAACTCACAACTAATGTACAGTAAATATAATGTCTATATAAAATTAAATACAAATGATAGGTCCACACAAAAAAGAAAACCACAAAAAAACAAAAAAAAAGAAAACATAAGAAAAAAAAAAAAAAAACCCTCAAAGTGAACTAAGGATACGGTACGCTGTGGTGTACGATGATATAAAAAAATTTCATATAAAAATTATATAAATAAAATAAAAATTATATATTTATTATAGTAATAATCATAATATAATTTTATTAATTAAAAAAAAAATATATAATAAAAAAAATAAAAAAATAATAATAATTTAATAATATTAATAATATTATATAATAAATTATATAATATTAATAATATAATAATAAAAATATATAATAATATATTATAATTAATTTTTAATATTAAAATAATAATAAATAATAATAAATAATAATAAATATATAATAATAATAATATATTATATAAAAAAATTATAAAAAATAATAAATAATATATAATTAATATTATATTATATATATATTATAATTAATTTATTAATTAATATTAATAAATAATATAATATATAAAAATAATATTAAAAAAATAATAAATTATTTTTATATTATAATAATAAATAATAAAAAAAAATAAATAATAAAAAATTATAATTTATAAAATAATATTATAAAATAATATTAATAAAATAATATATAATATAAATAATAAATATAATTATTTATAATTATTATTATAATATATAAATTTAAAATTAAAATAATATAAATATAATATATAATAATAATAATATTATATTTTAAAAAATATATATTATATTATAATAATTTTTAATAAATATAATATTATTAATTATTAATTAAAAATAAAAAAAATAATATATTAATAAAAAAAATAATTAATAATAATAATATAAAAAAAATATAATAATTATAAAATAATAAAAATAAATATTATTTTAATAATATAATAAAATAATATAATAAATTATTAAATATATAATATTATATTAAAATATTTTTATTTATAATTAATTTTATTATTATAAAAATATATTAATATTTTTATTTTAATATATTATATTAATTATAATATAAAAAATATAATTAATAAATAATAATAATATAAATAATATATAATATATAAATTAATAATAATATTATATTATTAATATATATAATAAAAAATATTATATATAATATTAAAAATAATATTTTTATAATAATTATATTAAAAAAATAATAAATAATAATATAAATAATAATAATATAATAATAAAAAATAAATATTATTAATAATAATAATTATTATATATTTATTATAATATTAATATAATATAATAATATTTATAATATTTATTATATAAAAATTAAAATAATAATAATAATAATAAATTAATTATTTTAATAATTTAATATAAAAAATATTAAAATAATATATTAATATATATTAATAAAAAATATAAAATAATTTATTAATAATTTAATATTATTTAATAATAATAAATAATATATAATAATATATTTAATATTATTTTTATAATTATTAATAATAAAATATTTTTTATATAAATAAAAAATAATATTTATAATATTATTTATAATATTATTATAATATTAAATAATAATAATTATTATATAATATTATATTAATATTAATAATATATAATTATATAATAATAATAATAATATTATATATATATATAAAAAAAATAATAATTATTAATAAAAATAATTAAATTTTTAAAATAATAATTTTTTTATATATAATAATAATATAAATATAATAATAATATAATATTATTATAATAAATATTAATAAAAATTTTTAAAAAATATTTAATAAAAATAATTAATAATAATTTTTAATAATATATAATATATTAAATATATTTATTTATAAATATATATTAATTTAATAATAATATAAAAATAATAATATATATAAAAATAATAAATAAAATAATTAATAATTATAAAATATAATTAAAATATTAATATTAATATTTTATTTTATTATAAAATTAATATAATATTAAAAAAAATAAAATAATATTTTATTATTATTATTATTATTATAATAATATTATATATAATTAAAATAAAATAATTTAAAAATATTTTTATAAATATATATAAATAATAATATTAATAATTAATTTATAATTAATAAATTTTTATTTAATTTAAAATAATATTAATATATATTATTTAATAATTATTATAAATAATATATAAAATAATAAAATTAAATAATAATTATAATTAATAATTTAATATTATAATAATTATAATAATTATATAATAATATTAATAAAAAAAAATAAAAAATAAAAATATTATAATTATTATTATTTAATTATAAAATTTATAATTATTTTTTTTAATAAAATAAAAAATTTTTAATTAATAATAATTATAAAATTAAAATATATTATTATATTATAATTATAATAATATATATTATAAATTATTATTATAATATAATTAATTTATTATAATTATAAATAAAATAATAATAATAATAATAATATAAAATTAATTATATAAATAATTATAATTTTAATAAAAAATTTAATATAATATTAAAAAAAATAATAATAATTTAATTATTTTTATATTATAATATATAAATATAATATATAAATATTAAAAATTAATATATATAATATATAAATATAAATAATATATAAATAAAAAAAAATAATAATATATATTAAATATAAAATTATAATAATATAATAATAATAAAATATAAATAAAAAAATATAATAAATTATATAATAATAAAATAATTTAATAAAAATAATTAAAAAAAATATATAATAATAATATTATATAAAATAAAATAATATATTTATTAATATAAATTAAATAATAAAAAATATATAAAAATTATTATATATAATAATTAAAAAAAATAAAATAATATTAATAATAAAAAAAAATAAAATAAATTAATAATTAATATATATATAAATAATAATAATAATATAAAATAATTTTAATATAATATAAAAATATTATATAAAAAAATAAATATTATTAAAAATAATAAATATATATAATTTTAAAAAAAATATAATATTAATTTAATAAAATAAATATATATTTATAAAAAATAATAATAAAATTTATTAATAAATAATAATAAATAAATATATAAATTTAAAATAAATAAAATTAATTATAATTTTATAAAAAAAAATATTAATAATAAATAAATAATATAATTTATAAATAATATAAAATTAATTTATTTAAATAAAATAAATAATATATATAATAATAATAATAATTTAATATAATATTTTATAATATTATATATATTATTATATATAATTATAATAATAATATATAAAAAAAATAATAATAATAATTAAAATAAAATATAATAAAAATTAAAATTTTAATTATAAATATAAAATATTAATAATAATAATAAAAATATAATATAATATTATAATAATAATTAATTTATAAAATATAATTAATTTAATATAAAAAATTAATATTAATTTAAT